CTCTACACTGAGATATAGACAGGGCCCCTCAGACCTGGGATCAGCCCCCCATCATCCACCACGAGGGGCTGTGACTTCAGACAAAACCTGACTTTCCTGTGCCCCATTGTGATCCGCTGCCTAATGAGAATGGTGACTACCATATTTGGCTCACTGGATTATCTAGGGATTAAATGGATCAATATATTTCTGACCCTTAGCGCAGTGCCTGGCACGGGGTCCATGTTCAGTAAACTTCCACTGTATGTTTTTTTTTCTGGTATTGCAAAGCATGAAGTGGCTGAATCTTCGTGGGCCTGAATCACGGCTAGGATTTGGAACTGACGCCTGAGCCCCATGGGTCACCTTTACAAATCCCAGCCTGGGTTTGAGCCGTGAGCTGGAGGTGACATTTCCTCTCATGTTCTGGAGTGTTGATCCAAGGGTGTACTCACGTGGGGAAAAGGTACGTGGTCATGACGGCTGAGGTCACCGTGAGAGGTGTTCTTGTGTGTTTCTTCTCTTCTCCTTGTCCCCACTTCCCCCACCAGGGGCTCAGCATTCCCATCTTCAGGTCTCTCTGCTCTTTATGGAGCCCGCATTGCAACCCCAGAGAAAAGGCTGTCTTGACAGACAGGCGGGGCCGGCTGGATGGGTGCTGGAGCAGAAACACCAGCAGCAGGACACAGGGACCGCAGGATGCAGATGTGGGGGCGGGCATCAGAGTTGCGGGCCCCTCTCCCGGGGCCCCTGCTGCGCTCTCCGACCCAGATCTTCCACCTCTGTTCTCCGGGCTCTGCTGCTTGCTTTCCTTCTTGGGGTTTGTTCTCCCCCTCGTCAGTGCAGCAGCTGAATGGTTCTGTCCCCCAGGAAACTGTGTGGAAATCCTAACCTCCAAAGTGACGGTGTTGGGGGGGGGGGCCTTTGAGGTGTGCTGGGGGGACTCTTGTGAGAGACTTGTGCCTTTAAAGGGGACCCTGGAGGGCTCCCGTCCCCTCTTTTCCAGGAAAAACGTTGTGTTATATATACTTGCTTCCTTAAATTTTTCAGTGAAAGTATGTGGAGCTAATATCTTTATAATGTTCAAATATCGAATCCAAAAACAAAGCATGCCTTCCACTTGATCATGTTTACTTCAGCTACTGGAGAGTTTACAGTTTGTTTATGTCATGCTTTTCTATGATGTTTCCTAAGTTAATTCTTAAAAATTATACATTTTTGTTGGTTTTTAAATAGAATTTCCTCTACCATGATCTGGTTTTTGTGTGTATGAAGGTTGTTGATTTTTATATATTAATTTTATAGATTGTTACTTTTCTTTTTTTTTTTACAGATTTATTTATTTATTTGAAAGTCAGAGTTACAGAGAGAGGAAAGGCACAGAGAGAAAGAGAGGTCTTCCAATGGCTGATTCACTCCCCAGATGGTTGCAATGGCTTGAGCTGCACCAATCTGAAGCCAGGAGCCAGGAGCTTCTTCCAGGCCTCCCACATGGGTGCAGGGGCCCACGGCCTTGGGCCACCTTCTACTGCTTTCCCAGGCTGTAGCAGAGAGCTGGATTGGAAGAGGAGCAGCCAGGTCTCAAACTGGTGCCCATATGGGATGCCAGTGCTTCAGGCCAGGCGCTAACCCATTGCACTACAGTGCCGGCCCCTAGGTTGTTACTTTTATAAACTCACCTATAGTTAACATTGATTAGCTAGAGGCTTATTACTATTTTATCATCTAAGGGTACAGTTCTACTTCTTTTTAAATTGTTGTGCTTACTTATTTTCTCCTGAACAATTACATTAACTCATACTTATAGGACAGCATTAATTGAAGTAGTGGTCTTCTTTCTTTGTTCCTGCACAATTTGTTACTTTTTTTAAAAGATTCATTTATTTATTTGAAAGTCAGAGTCACACAGAGAGAGAAGGAGAGGCAGAGAGAGAGAGAGAGAGAGAGAGAGAGAGAATCTCCCATCCACTGGTTGACTCCCCAGTTGGCCGCAACAGCTGGAGCTGTGCAGATCTGAAGCCAGGAGCCAGGAGCCAGGAACCCCCTCTACGTCTCCCACGCAGGTGCAGGGGCCCAACCACTTGGGCGATCTTACACTGCTTTCCCAGGCTGTAGCAGAGAGATGGATTGCAGGTGGAGTTGGTTTGGTGGTGCCCATATGGGATGTCGGTGCCACAGGCAGTGGCTTCACCCACTATGCCACAGTGCCAGCCCCTCTGCACTATTTCTTCTTCTTCTTCTTCTTCTTCTTCTTCTTCTTCTTCTTCTTCTTCTTCTTCTTCTTCTTCTTCTTCTTCTTCTTCTTCTTCTTCTTCTTTTCTTCTTCTTCTTTTCTTCTTCTTTTCTTCTTCTTCTTTTCTTCTTCTTCTTTTCTTCTTCTTCTTTTCTTCTTCTTCTTCTTTTCTTCTTCTTCTTTTCTTCTTCTTCTTCTTTTCTTCTTCTTCTTTTCTTCTTCTTCTTTTCTTCTTCTTCTTTTCTTCTTCTTCTTCTTTTCTTCTTCTTCTTCTTTTCTTCTTCTTCTTTTCTTCTTCTTCTTTTCTTCTTCTTCTTCTTTTCTTCTTCTTCTTCTTTTCTTCTTCTTCTTCTTTTCTTCTTCTTCTTCTCTTCTTCTTCTTCTTTCTTCTTCTTCTTTCTTCTTCTTCTTTTCTTCTTCTTCTTCTTTTCTTCTTCTTTTCTTCTTCTTTTCTTCTTCTTCTTCTTTTCTTCTTCTTCTTTTCTTCTTCTTCTTCTTTTCTTCTTCTTCTTCTTTTCTTCTTCTTCTTCTTTTCTTCTTCTTCTTCTTTTCTTCTTCTTCTTTTCTTCTTCTTCTTCTTTTCTTCTTCTTCTTCTTTTCTTCTTTTCTTCACAGGCAGAGTGGTCAGTGAGAGAGAGACAGAGAGAAAGGTCTTCCTTTTGCCGTTGGTTCACCCTCCAATGGCCGCCGTGGCCGGCGCGCTGCGGCCGGCGCACCGCGCTGATCCGATGGCAGGAGCCAGGTACTTCTCCTGGTCTCCCATGGGGTGCAGGGCCCAAGCACTTGGGCCATCCTCCACTGCACTCCCTGGCCACAGCAGAGAGCTGGCCTGGAAGAGGGGCAATCGGGACAGAATCCGGCGCCCTGAACGGGACTAGAACCCGGTGTGCCAGCACCCCAAGGCGGAGGTTTAGCCTAGTGAGCTGCGGTGCTGGCCTTGCACTGTTTCTTAATAAAGTGCTCCTGTGTGTGTACATATAAATGTGCACACACATATGTATAATATACAAAATACCTCGAAAAGTTCATGGAAAATGCCTAAGTATTTTGTTGATTTTTTGAATTCCTTGCATAGCTTTTTCATAATATGCACTAAATAAGCTATCTTTTGGTCTCATTTTCCAAGTACACTTTGAAGTCTCCTCTCACATAATCACACTAAGGATGTCAGTACATTCCTTTATCTTGTAGTGTCCTTTTAATTAAGTTAATATTTTGTCAAACCTTTTTAAAATTTTATTTAGTTATTTGAGAGACAGAGACAGAAAGAATGAAACAGTTACACAGAAAGAGCTTTCATATGCTGGCCCAATCCCCAAATGCCCACAGTGGCTGGAGGGCCAAAGCCCGGAGCCAGGGACACAATCCTGTTCTCCCACGTGGGTAGCAGGGACCCAGCTACTTGACCGTCACTGCTGCCCCCCAGGGCGCACATGAGCAGAAGCTGAATGGGAGCTGAAGCGGGATCAGGACCGTGAGCTTTGACATGGCTTAACCGTGAGGCCAAACACCTGCCCCAGGGGTTTGGTTTGGTTTGGTTTGGTTTGGTTTGGTTTTCAAAGTAGTAGGGGAGACAGTCACATGAATTTTCTTCCTAATATCAGTATGGCAGATTTTATTGATAAATGTTGTAATATTTAGCTGTCCTTACATTACTGGTATAAATCTCCCATGGTCATGGTATATGATTTTCCTAATATCTTTTCTTTGTCCTAGGAGGTATGATGAAGAATGCTTTAAATTTCTAAGCATATTTATATTTTTATATGTATATATATAATCTATCTTTATTTCAAATTGCTGCAATACACACAGCAATTTAGAGACCTGGTCTAAAGCACAGGCAACTCATATGGGCGCCGGTTCGAGTCTCTGCTGCTCCTCTTCTGATCCAGAACACTACTATGGCTTGGGAAAGCAGTGGAAGATGGCCCAAGTGCTTGGGCCCCTGAACCCACGTGGGAGACCCAGAAGAAGCTCCTGGCTCTAGGCTTCTGATTGGCGTAGGTCTGGCTGTTGACACCATTTAGGGAGTAAACCAGCGGAAGGAAGACTTTTCTCTCGGTCTCTCCCTCTCACTGTCTGTAACTCTACCTCTCAAAAAAAATAAGTAAAATCTTGAAAGAAAAAAGAAAATTGTGGAAGAATCTCACACCTTAGAGACATGGTTATCTCAGGGAAGAGGAATTAGGCTGTAAGGGAGAAATGGGGCCTACATTAACTTTTTCTTTTATCTTTGTATTATTTATTACTTGTGGTATACACATTTTTTATAATTTGCAAGAACAATTTACAAAACTAATAAAAATTAAAATGCCTGTGTATTACAACAGAATCACTAAGAGCTAAAATCTCCCATACATATTCCAACACTACCATTTACATCATGCATTCGTAGCATGATCTATCCTGTATCCTAATCATATTCTATGTATGTGTCTCCCATTCTAAGCTCTGAGGCCCGAGGACTGGTGGCTTGTCCTGGAATGTAGTGAATATTCGGGAAATCACTTTGATATGAGAGAGAAGACTTGACTTTGGGGATTACGTCCGGACACAGTGAAGGACTGGCAAACGGGTAAGCAATGGCCCAGCAGCTGGCAGGGCGGCTCCCTGAATGGCGATGCCCAGCTTCCTGGTGGAGTTGTGGCCGTCAATGGGGTCGTCCTCAGGACAGTGTGTGAAGGGCTGAACGTCCCTGTTAGAACCAGGACTGTCGGAGTCAGCCTACGCTGAGCTCTAACATGGGGAACTTCGAATCAGTAACCTGCCCCTGCGAGGCCTGAGAATGGATTTCGGTGACTTTATCCTCAGGCTGTTTTTCCTGGCCCAGAATGGGATTGGGGTCCTGGGGAATACCCTTCTCCTCTCAAGCTACGCCTCCACGGCCTGTGCTGGCCACTTGCTGCGGCCCACGCACCTGATCATGGCCAACATGGCCGTGGCCAACTTCCTGGTTCTTTTCTTCAAGGGGATCCCTCAGATGATATTTACCTGGGGAGTGGTTTACGTCCTTGGGGACGCTGCGTGTAAACTTGTCTACTACATCCACAGAATGGCCCGGGGCCTCTCTCTCTGCACCACTTGCCTCCTGAGCGTTTTCCAGGCACTCACCGTCAGCCCCGCAGGTGGCGGGTGGATGCGGCTCAAGGACATAGCTCGGAGGAAGGTGCGTTTCTCGTGCCTTCTCTGTTGGGTGTCCAACCTGCTGATGAACTTCTTTATTCCTCTGAAAATACAGGCCCGTCCACGTGGCCTCAACTCCACCAGCATGCAGCATTATGGACTGTGCTCTTCCGAGACCCCTAAGATGGCCGCTACAAAATACACGGTCCTGTTGACCTTTCCAGACGTGGCATTCATGGTGTTCATGGCTGCGGCCAGCGCCTACATGGTGCTTCTCCTGCACAGGCACCACCGACGAGTAAGGCATGTGCACAGCCACAGTGGCGCCCACAGACTCTCCCCGGAGACAAAGGCCACGCACACCATCCTGCTTCTAGCAGGCACCTTCATTTTCTTCTACTTCACCAACTCTGTCCTCACAATTTCTCATATTTATTTTTCCCAGTCTCACCTCTGGCTGCAGCATGTGCCCACCTTTGTGGCGGCCTGTTATCCCACCCTCAGCCCCCTGATACTGATGCTTCGAGATCCCCGGGCGCCGACTCTGTGTTTTTAAGTGGAGAAAAAGGAATTGCAAGTCACAGATGATCTCACTCGCTATGGTTTCTCTTTCAAATCACCTGGTTATTCCCTTACTCATGTAATGACTTGTGGATGTCTAGAATGTAAAGGCAGAACTCAAAATACAATAATAAAGAGATTTGTAAGAGGGGCAGTGCTGTGGTGTAGTGGGTAAAGCCACCACCCTCAGTGGCGGCGTCCCATGTGGGCGCCAGTTCGAGTCCTGGCTACTCCATCAGATCCAGCTCCTTGCTAATGCGCCTGGGAAAGCAGTGGAAGATGGCCCAAATGCGTGGGTCTTGCTCCTGTGTGGGAGACCCTGAAGAAGCTTCAGGCTCCTGGCTTCAGATCCTCTCTGCTCTGGCCATTGTGGCCATTTGGGGAGCAAACTAGTGGATGGAAGACCTCTCTCCTTCCCTCTCTCTCCATCTCTCCCTCTTTCTCCCTCTACCTTTCAAATAAACAAACACATATTTTAAAAAAGAGGGAGATGTGTATGATACTGGCATTGCCGTGTGGAAGCTTTCATCTTCACTCCCAAGTCAGATGTATAACCAAAAAAACACAGTCCTTCTATTAACATTATCCAGCTGCATTCCGATCGTATTTTTCCTTTGTAATATTTTATGTAAGCATGGAGGTAGATTGAGTAGAAATAATTTTGGGAACATATTAGAAGTTCTAATGATTTACAGGACAATTATTAATTGGATTCAGTTTTATATAATGATAAACAGCAATGACTTTAAGATTTAGTTCAAGTATCAAGGAATTAATCCAATAAAACTGTACAAGACCTCTATCAAAGACAGTAACTTTACTCAGACGTTAGCGAAGAGCCCAATAAATGGAGCAATGCACTGTCCATGGACTTTAAAACTTCACAGTGTAACAAGCTCATGACTTGCTAAAATGGTTTATAAATTCCATGTCCAATGCAAATCTGAGCCATGTGTTTTGGGTGGAAAATGCCAAGGTGATTTTAAAAAGTTCTATGAGGGGCCGGTGCTGTGGCACACTAGGTTAATCCTCCTCCTGCAGCACCAGCATCCATATGGGCGCCAGTTCTAGTCCTGGCTGCTCCTCTTCCAATCCAGCTCTCTGCTGTGGCCTGGGGAAGCAGCAGAGGATGGCTCAAGTTCTTGGGCCCCTGCACCCATGTAGGAGAATGGGAAGAGGCACCTGACTCCTGGCTTCGGATCAGCACAACTCCAGCCATTGTGGCCATTTGGGGGGTGAACCAGCGGAAAGAAGACCTCTCTCTCTGTCTCTCCCTCTCACTGTCTGTAACTCTACCTCTCAAATAAATAAATAAAATCTTTAAAAAAAAAGTTATATGAAGATAAAAGGGTCAAAAGAACAAAGAGACTCTATAGAAAAAGAGTGGTATGAGGCTTTGCTCTATGAGAGCTGTAGTACTAGAATGCTCTCATGGTTGAGCCAGGGTAATGTTGACCCAGGGACAAGCAACAGACTTGTGGAGAACTGGAGTGCTGAGTCATCGCCATGCAGATATGAACACTTAACATGCGACAGGCATGGCGGGAATGGGTGGTGAGGAAGAGACCGTAAGTCATGCTGTTGGGACAGTCGTCCGTACAGGGTGGAAAAAAGCTGACCCTTACATCACAGTGCTCACAAAAACAAATGTCTGGGATTCAGGATAAGTCGCACCCTCTGCTGTACTCTCTGTGGTAAACGAATTCTTCCCAATCCAGGTTAGTTCTCTAATGATTGACACTGATTGGAGTACATGGGAGATCCAGCGGAGGTTGCACATGAAATAAGTCTCACAAAGAAAGGCACAGATTTGAGATTCCCGTTCAGACTCCATGGTAGTCTTCAGAGGTGAGCAGCCTGTATTTATTTTTTTGGTAATAGTTTTGCATAGTTGTGGTATAATTTGCACAATAGCATGCATCAGTTTTCATCTCTAATTTGATGAGTTTTACAAACACTTACCTTTGTGTAGCTGTAAGTTGCATCTGTCTGTTGAAGACGTCCATGAACCCAGAAAGTCAATCACACTTCCCTTTCTCATCTCCTGTTGCCTTGAGACCACTTCTGTGTTAGGTAACCACACTGCAGTAATTTGCACAAATGGAGTTACCCATGGGCGCTCTGATTCCTGCCTGCTGTCTGACTTAATTCACGGAGAGTAATGACTCTGTATATCATTAGTTCATCCCTTTCTGTTGCTGAGTGATACTCAGGTATAGGCTGTAATATGCGTGTCCATCCTCCAGTTATGGACAATTTTAGATTTTCTGGTATGGCTTGGATATCATTAATAAAGGTACAGTAAGCCGGCGCCGTGGCTCAATAGGCTAATCCTCCACCTTGCGGCGCCAGCACACCGGGTTCTAGTCCCGGTCGGGGCGCCGGATTCTGTCCCGGTTGCCCCTCTTCCAGGCCAGCTCTCTGCTGTGGCCAGGGAGTGCAGTGGAGGATGGCCCAGGTGCTTGGGCCCTGCACCCCATGGGAGACCAGGAAAAGCACCTGGATCCTGGCTCCTGCCATCGGATCAGCGCGGTGCGCCGGCTGCAGCGGCGGCCATTGGAGGGTGATCCAACGGCAAAGGAAGACCTTTCTCTCTCTGTCTCTCTCTCTCACTGTCCACTCTGCCTGTCAAAAATAAAAATAAATAAATAAATAAAAATAATAAAGGTACAGTGTGTATTCATAACTCAAGTCAAGATGTCGATACCTTTTTGCATTTTCACCAAAAATACTTGAAAGTGATTGTTACTCTGCATCCCTGTACTGAGTATTACCCATCTTCAGTTGTAGCCTTTGTAACTGGTATGTAGCAATAGTTTCTTTGGCTTTACTTTATTTTTGTTATGAAGCCTAAAGCAGCTTTTCATATGTTTATTTGTTCTCTCTCTCTCTCTCTCTCTCTCTCTGTCTCCTTCTCTCTCTCAGTTTTTGTTCAAATCTTTTGTTTATTTTGTATTGTTTGTTTTACTAGGTTGGAAATGTCCTTTATGTATTTTGGACAGAAGTCCTTTGGTCAGGTTTATGCTTTGCAGATACTGTGTCTTATCCTGTGGCTTCATTCTTCCCCATTTTAAAAATAGCACATTTAGGGGCCAGCGCTGTGGCGTATTGGGTTAAGCTACTGCCTGCAGTGCTGGGATCCCATATGGGTGCCACTTCATGTCCTGGCTGCTCCTATTCCCATCCAGCTCTCTGCTATGGCCTGTGATAGCAGTGTAAGATGCCCCAAGACCTGGGACCCCTGCACCCACGTGGGAGACCCAGAAGAAGCCCCTGGCTCCTGGCTTCAGGTCAACACAGCTCCAACCATTGCAGCGAATTGGGGAGTGAACCAGCGGGTGGAAGACCTCTCTCTCTCTCTCTCTCTCTCTCTCTCTCTCTCTGCCTCTCCTTCTCTTTATATATGTAACTCTTTCAAATAAAATAAATAATTCTTTAAAAAATTAGCACATTTAGAAGATCAAAAGATTTCAGTACTGAGAATAAATGATGTATCATTACTTCTCTTCTTTCATGCTCTCTGTTTCCATATATAGGAATCTTTAACAAATCTCAGGTCACTTAAAATTTTCTCTGCTTTATTCTAGAAGCTTTCTAGCTTTAACTTTTACATCTATAATACGTTTGGAGTCACTTTCCATATGTGTGAGTTAAGCATGTCCACTTGTTAAACATTTTCTCGTCACGTTCATGCTTTTCTCTAACTTCTTGAAAATATAGAATAAATGTAAAAATAAGATTTTAAAAATGTATTTGAGAGGCAAAGAGATGGAGGGTTGGGTGGGGGGAAGGCCTGTGATCGCCAAACCTGGGGTGAAGCTGAAGCTGTGACCAGGAACTCAAGTGTGGGCGGCAGGAGCCCAGGTACTTGAGCATTGGCACTGACCTCTGGGGTCTGGGAGACAGGAAGCTGGAGGTGACCATCCAGCCCTGGCACTCTGACAGGGGACGTGGGATTCTAACCAGTGTCTAAGCACCAGGCCAATGCACTGGATCATTTTAGCATTTTGAAATTGACATACCTGCCAATCCCATCTTCTTGTTTGTTTTATTTTCTCTTGCTTGATTTTCAAACTGGATCATATTTGTTCCAGCTTCTTAATTTATGTTAATTTTTATTGGATGTCAGACATTGTCAGTTTTACATTATTGTTTGACAGATTTTCTTTTATCCCGGTAACTACTTTTATGTTTTCCTTTGGGGTTTACTTAATTTGAAGCAGTTAGATTTTTTTAAGCTTGCTTTTAAGCTGTTAGGTAGCTCTACAATAGTATTTTGTCTACGACTACTTTGTCTTTGTTGCTGATTCAATACCTTTCAGAGTACTCTATTCACAGTCTCTGTGTATTACAAAGTCTTTTTGTTGTTGTTTTTTGAAATGACAAATGTTTTACATGCCTAGAATCATCAGGGTCTTGGTGCACAAGAAATTATCATCAGACACCAGCTGACTTTAGAGACCACAACATACATGGGCAGCAGTTGCCACAAGAGAGCTTGCCTTTTGTATCAAGTTTATATGTGCATGCATACATGTGTGTGTGTATGTGTGTGTGTATTTATGTACACAGACACAGTATGAGATCCAGTGAGAAGGGCTCATGTGGATCCAGATGGGGCAGCAGCGGCTCTAACCACCATGGCTGAGACCAGGGTAGAGGCACACAGAAGCGGTGCAGAGTGGCAGCATTCTCCCCATTGTTCCTCCCTGGGCCAAAGAGAGGACCTGGGAAGTAGGTCAAGCACACAAAGGAAGATGGAAATTACTGGAAAGGGAACCCACCTTTTACCAAACTCCCGAGAGCCCCTAAGGCATTCTGCCTGCCTGGCAGGATGGACCTCTCCCATGCCTCTCAGCAAGTGGCCGAACCGATGGTCGCTCTGGCCTCAAGCCACACCAGGCTGGGGTCTAAGTGGGCTCTATGATGCAGATGCCCAGGCTACCTTCCAGGGTGCTGGTAGCGGAAAGCCAGCATCTGCAAGGCCCACTCCCC